CCCCCCCCCCCCCAATCTGAGCTGTGTCTGTAGACCCCCAATCCAAATCTGAGCTGTCTGTAGACCCCCAAAATCTGAGCTGTGTCTGTAGACCCCTGAGCTGTAGCCTGTTCACCAAGTTCATTAGCTGTGGTGACCATTTTACTCCTTCTTTCTTCTTTCGGCTGCTCCCTTCTTCAGGGGTTGCCACAGTGAACTAACTCACATGAAGACTTGTGGGGGTGAGGGTGGAGGCAGGTGTGGGTGCTTCACCTTTTCACCCACATTTTGATGTTGCTGGTCCGGGGAGTCAAACCAGCGACCTTCTGATCACATGCCCACCTTCTCTAACCTCTGCACCACCACTCCCCGTAGCTTTGGCGACCATCTTGATTCTTAATGTTTAACGTCCGATCATTGTTTGTGAAAACTTCTTCAAAGTCCATGAAAACGTCCAAATATTTTGCTAACGATACAACCACGGGCCAAACTAACTCCTTGTCTGATGTCGTGTGTAAAGAACGTTAATGGCTCAAAGTGGTGCAGGTTTGATCTCTGAGCTCAAACTGTGTGGGAGATGTTTGTCTGATGCGGAGCTTGTGGGTTCTTCTGCCTGCAGGCGTGGGAACTGTAAGAAAGCCTCGCTGGGTTTGATGTGTGAAGTGGGTCTCCGGTGCAGAACGTACTACGTTCTGTGCGGCTCCGTGCTCAGCGTGTGGAACGAGCTGGAAGAAGTGCTTTCTCCGGTCAGTGGAACCAACGTGAAGGTGCAGATCGTCCGTCTCAGAACAGAAGATGGACAGAGGATCGTTGGTAAGTGCATCACGTAGGTTCTGGCCGTGGCACCACGTTTGTTTTAAGTGTGAAAATAGTTTTTGACTCGAACTCTTCAGACAAAATGGAGCTGGTTTACAGAGAAATGTTCTGCAGCTCACTCTGGAATAATCTAATCTCAGGAGAGCAGGCTGCGAGCGAACCCAGATTAAATCAGAAACGGTCTGATGCTCGTTACGAGAGGCAGACAAAAACACGAGCGAGCCTCTAAGAACCGTTGCTGTGTTAAAACTAAGTCGACTCTGACCTGACGCGTGGGTTTTATGGAAGAGAGATGACATCACTTCCTGTTTTGAAGAGAACAATGAAGGTTTGGTGATGACGCACACAAAGTCCTGGCTCTGAGTGCAAGGACACTAACGGGAGGTCTGTTCATGCTCCAAAAACGCTCGTGCCAAGAAGCTGAATGGAGCGTAAGAAGTTGCTTATTTGATTGAAGTTCTGGAAATTAGCAAAAAAAAATGCTAAAAGAGCATAAAAATTGAAATGATTAGAGATGCATGAAACAGGAACTGGCAAAAATATTAAAAAAACTAAACTTGGCAGAAAAAGAAGCTGAAATTAGTGTAAAGAATCTAAAATGAGCAGGAAAAGTTTTTAACGGCACAAAGAGTTTGAACAGATGTGAAGAGAGCTCTTTTCCTTTTTAATAATAAACATGGCTGACGGAGCTAACGAGCGAGCTGAACGTCTTCGTTCATGAATCGTTGAAACATCAACAATTAACGAGTTGCAGAATAAAACAGACCTCCATGGAGTGAACAAGTTCTATCCAGGCTGTTCCTCCCGACTACAGCTGGGCGATATATCGATACTTTAAAAATAGTGTTGTCATTTTTTTTTTTTTTTTTTTGCAATATAAATTGAGACTATCTCGATATAAAACGATGTAGTTTTATACATGGAAATCCTCCTGCTGTCTCCTTTCTCCCACTCGCCCCCATCCTTCTCCCTCCTTGAACACAGCCCCCCCCCCCCCCCCCCCATGAGGTGGTGGGCAGGAGGAGAGGAGACATTTAGCAGAAATAAACACGAGCAGCTGAGCGTGTGTGAAGCTGCAGCTCCGACAGACCTGACCCCTTCCCTGAAACAAACCACGGTTCAGAGCTCATTCAGCCGTGCTGAGCCTTTTACAGGAACAGAGAGGACATGAATAAATCAGCAGTTTATCATATCTATCATAGCTAACAAGCAGCTAACAAGCAGCTAAAGCGTTAGCCGTCTTGTTCCACAGCTGAGACAGGACCGTGTCTTTAGCGATATGATAAACTGCTGATTTATTCATGTCCTCTCTGTTCCTGTAAAAGGCTCAGCACGACTGAATGAGCTCTGAACCGTGGGTTGTTTCAGGGAAGGGGTCAGGTCTGTCGGAGCTGCAGCTTCACGGTTCCAAGTGGAGGCTCAGTACCACAGTTCACACACACTGACTAAAGTGAAGGGGGCGCAGCTGAAGGGACTGTACCTATACAGCTCCTTTCTATCTGATCAAGACACTCGGAGCTCTTTACAACATTCTGTGCCTCATTTACCCACTCATACAGCTCTATACTAGATCTGTACAAAGACTAATCAGAGCTTTACCACATCCAGACACTGATGGACACACGTCAGAGGCAGTGAGGGGTTCAGTGTGTTGCCCAGGGACACTTCAGCATGTGACTGCTGGTGGAATCGAACCCCCAACTTTCCCACTGGAGGACGACTGCTCTGGCCTCTCAGCCACAGCCGCTCCAGCTGAAGAGGATTATTATTGAATATATGTAAATAGATGTCTAAAAAACAAACTAATATTTGTAAATAGTTTATTTTTAGACATTTATTTTGTACAGTTACAGCTGTTGTTAATAAATGTGGCTGTGACAGCTGGGACAAAACTTTGACTCAAATATATTTTAGTTATTACTTTATGGAAAGTAAAAATATCGAGATTTATCTTAAAATGTCGAGATCTAAGTTTGGGCCCACATCGCCCAGCTCCAGTCCTGACTGTTTCTAAAACGGTTCTTCTGCCTGTTTCTCTGACAGGACTGATCATTCCGGCGAACTGCGTGTCTCCGTTACTGAACAAGTTGTCCACGTCGGACCAGAGCCAGCAGCTGGCCGTGCAGGAGCAGCACAAGAGGCAGCAGCTCCATCCTCAGAGCCTCAGCCACGCTCCGGTCCCTGCGCTGTCCTCCTGAAGGGACGTCTCCGAGCTGCTGTCTCTGAGGGCCCACCGGTGGACGCCAGGTTTGACAGGGACCTTCCTGTCCTCTGACATTCAGAGGACTGTTGGCGTCCTCCATCAAGGCGTGGTCTGATTCCTCCACAAGTGGATCTGGTGGAACCACGATTGGAGGCTGGAGAGCTCGCTTCATGCTTTACGTTTAATAAAATGAGAACTGTGTGAGGAAAGATCAAAGTGTTTGGTTCCATTTTAGACTCTGCTGCGATTCTTCACCAAAGACCGAACGCTGCGGTCCGTTCTTCGGCTCCGTGTTCTCGCAGGTCTCACGTTCCTCAGAGTTTTCTGAACGAGTTGGGTTCAGATTTTCTTTCTACATCCCGACTGACACGAGCTGCGAGCGGTCAGGAACCTTTTCAGATCCATAAATATTTAGTTGTGTGCTTTAGCTGCCGTTTTATTAGCATATCGTTTAGGCCGGTGTCCCACAGGGCTGTATTGTTGGAATCTGCAAAACTAAGAAAACAGGCTTTATTGTCTCACGAAGTTCTGAGTGTCTGCAGCTCTCCTGGGGAACTGAAGAACCTGTGGATGTTCTGGAGACTCCACGCTGACACAACAGCTGCAGCCCAGTGGATCAGCGGTGCTTCAGTTTCATGTTTTAGTGTTAGGCCTCATCGCTAGTTCGCTAAAAATAATTTTATTTTGTAAATTGCTGCTCTTTCATCGTTGGTGATGTTATGTTTGGAGGAACCTCTTCAGTGATTCTATTGTAACGCTCGGCTGCTTTTTTTTTTATTTTTTTTTAGATCTGCTTTTCCGACCGTTTGATTTCCAAAGTTTGTCTGAAACTGCAGCGACGTTAGAAAAGCTGAAGAACTCATTTCAAGTCTGACAGAAGTCATTTGGAGACGTTATAAAGCGCCTGCCTGATGTAATTTTATTTTTTATATTTAATTAACGATGAGCTCAGGGCTACACTTCAAGAAGCAGAACCTTCAACGTGTTTGGACTCACAGCTTGTATAGTCAGGGTACATAATGCAGACGTAGTGAGACCAGTTCCACCAGTTGTTCCTCCGATGGTCGCTCCATCAACTTGTATAATTTTGTATAGTTGGACGTTTCTCTGAAGGAACTGAACTGAAGGTTCAACTGTGGTTTTATCTGTACGTGACTGAACGCTCAATAAATCCTGGGATACTTCCTGTTGTTGTTTATTTTACACACCTGCCATCACAGGTGCCCATCACAGGGACACCTGGACAGGTCTGTCCATCACAGGGACACCTGGACAGGGACACCTGGACAGGTCTCCAG